ACACAGTGCATCGCCGTTTCCAAACCGCGCCTCTCAAACAGTAACAATTCTTCCTCATCTTCCCCCCCTCCTCTGCAGCAGGTTGGGGTTACAATGAGTCGCTCAGCTCCTCAGTCCAACACGAGGAGGACAGAGCCAAGGTGGGCCACGCTACACGATGCTCTCTCAGCTGGAGGCTGTGGCGATGGCCTTCTTGAGCTGCTGACTGCGGATCTCGCGGGTGCGGGACTCCAAGAGCAAGTCGTGGCAGGTGTTGCAGACCAGCACTGGGTCATACAGCTGCTGGTCTGGGATGGGCAGCTTCAGATGACAACAGTCTTTACAGAACACATTGCCACAGTTCCTGAGAACACAGAGTGCACAGGAGTTGAGATATTTTTTAGAATGAGCGTTTAATTCATCCCAAAGGGAAACTGCCTCAGTGCAATTAAAGCACCTAGTTAAATACAAACTCTAAAATAAACTATACAAAATATTTTAAAAAATGCGTCAGGATAAAATAAAAATGTGAAAATACAGAGTAAAGATAGGACAATAATATGTAATGAATATGACTTTATATGATAATAATTTATTAAATTATTTTAAATTCAAAGTCTAATCATATATGTCTTGATCCTTTACTGCTGACAGTGATCGTGTCAGTGTTCTTCCGAATCGAATGAAGTCTTCTAACATGGGAAAAATGCCACTTCCCTTCAATATCTGCTTTGCTAAACCCACAGTAAAAGTAGTGGTGTGTTCCAGCTCTCAGGTGATATTTCTGGCATGTGGCAGTGATAGCGACAGCACTGATGGAGACTGGCAGGCTGTTACTTTAACAGAATTGTGCTGAGACAAAAGAGTGCAGAGAAAAGTGGGAAAATAATAAAAGAAAAAAAGATCTTAAAAGGAAGTTGTAAGTTCCTGGTGGGTTTGATTTGATGATTTGTGAACACACAGCTCATTGTTAAACCTGATCTTCAGGCAGCTACCATTTAAGAGTGTCAAAATGTTTAAAGGAATAGCTCAACATATTGGGAAACATGCTTATTTGTGTTCTTGCTGAGACCTAGCCAAAAAGATTGGTAGTGTATGCTAAATGGGAAGCTAGAACCAGACAGTTAGTTCAGGGAAACAGCTAGTCTGACACCATCCACAGGTAACAAAATCCATCTGCCAGCACCTCTAAAGTTCACTGAGCCTGACCAAGAAAAAACTTGGCACATAGTACATCCCCCTCATGACACCATCACATGATATTTTTACACTGTAACACAATAATAATAATTTCCCAAAATATCAAACTATAATCCACAACAGGGACTTGGTCACATGAGGAAACAATGAAAAGCAAAGTAACTGGCTCACTATAGCTCAGCCATGAATCACAGGGAATATTAAGACTTTTTCTATATTTAACACCTAGGCTATTTCTCCAGGGCCTTTACTCGTCTATGAGGAGCTTGTGATATTTTGGAGTCATTGTGTTCTGTGTTTATTAATGCAAGTAAACCACAGTGAAGCCCCACCTGCAGTGGTGACGTCTCTTGGCTATCCAGAACTCACAGTCACAATTGAAACAATGGGAGGCCATGTGGTCGGGCACCCACCTTGTGACCTACACACACACACACACACACACACACACACACACACACACACACATACACATATATATATATATTACTGTTGAATAGTGTCAGGTAATAAGAGGTGCTCCCAGCCATTCAAATGAGGAGGAAAGAGGACGTGGGAGTGGAGTGAAGTCTATTTCAAAGTTACATTATGGGTCAAAGGATGCTGACCTCTGTGTCCTTACGCTCCACTCGGTCCCAGCTGCCCTCAGACAGACGGTCCTCACTGTGGGTGGACAGAGAATCCTCCTCGTTGCTGCTGTCTGATTCCCGCAGACACGTCTGAAACAGAGAGAACAGGGCTGGAAGGCAGGCAGGAATCAGGTAAAGGAGAACATTTCTGGACATAAAAGTAAACATTTACAAACACAGCAGAAAAAGCCTCTAATACTGGGTGTCTAGCATTAAAGTCTTCACTTAAAAAGCTACTCACAATGTCATCCTCATAGTCGATGTCTGCCTCTGATGGTGGGGTGCTATACTGTTTACTCTCTAGCCTCATCTGCAGCTGTCGCACCTGCTGCCGCAGAACTTCCACCTCCTGCTTATAACCTGCCTCAATCTGCCGCAGTCTCTGCTGCACGGCGTCCATGGGCACTGGCAGACCATCATCGTCAAGGTAAGCAGGGGTCTGTGGTGGGGGAGGGGAGCTAGAAGTGGAAGGTGATGAGTATGACACTGGCTGAAGCTGGTGGCCTGCCAGGGAGTAGCTGTTGAGGGCAGAGGTCGCAGGCCCACACAGGGCAGTGTAGCCGGCACACCTGGCCGCAGATGGCCATCCAGGCTGCAGAGGGCTGCTCAGACAACAAAGTGCTTCCCTGCGGCAGCACTGGGACCCATTGGTGATAGCGAAGCCCTGGGCACGGAGCAACTTACTGACAAGCCGACGGCTCTGATAAGTGTTGGGTTGCAAGGTCCGGCTGATGCCACAGTGATTGGTAGTGCAGCAGGCGGACTGGGCCAGACCCTGGACACTTTCCCAATGGCAGCCAAGCACAGAAAGATCTGAGAGCTGGCTCTGGGAGATCAGGTGGTGAGCTGCTACCTGGGTGCAGTCTAGAGGAGATGCTATAGTTGTTAACACACGCTCTCTTCCTTTCATTACATCTGTCCTTGTGCCATCCTTCTCCTTCTGGGGCTGTGAATCATCATTAAAATGATTCTGGGTAGGATTCTTGCTCACTGTAAGGTGCAGGGTTGGTGGAAGCTCTCCCTCTTCTGTCAGAGTTTCAGTGGAGTCCTCCATTGGATGGAGTGGTGTGAGCTGCTTCAGAGTCAACAGGCCTGCAGATTCTGGGAAGCTGTTTTCATGGCTGTTAATGTGACCATTGAGCAGTGAAGCGGGTGTGGTGGCTCCAGGTTGGGTGCTGTTGCAGGGGAGAGGTAAGCATGGCTCTGATTTATGAGTGGGTGACCTGGTGTTCTCAGCAGTCCTACAAGGGCCCTCAGTCTCCTGCAGAGGTGGTCGGAGTGGAAGGTTTGTGATCTGAGGCAAAGCCTGCTGGAGGACAGGACTAGTGTAGGGAGTGTGAGCAAGTGTGATGTCCTTACTGATGGGGACAGGAGGAAGGGGCAGAGAGGGCAAGGGCTGTGTGGTGAGACAGGGCTCTTCTAGCATGTCTTTATAACTCTCTGTACCTGGGACACTCTCTGGGGTTTTGGCAGGACTGTGATGTAGAGGTTCCCCCTCACCGCTGTCCAGTCCAGTGTCAGGTATGACCTCGGTAGAGCAGTCTGCGGAGGTTTCCTCCGTAGCGGGTGATGGCTCCAGGGCAGAGCGATCCTCTTGGCAGTGTTTATTGATATTGGGGTCGCTGGATGTACGAGTCAGGGGCACCCCATTCTCAAGAGCTGACAGCAGGTTGTCCATGGAGCGGGTTTTGGGAAGTCTGGAAACCAGAAATAATTAAGGATTCATTTGTTTCCCCATACATGTAGCCATTACACAATTCTCTGTTTGGGACTCTAGAGGGCAGTCTGACTCTCTGTTACAGATGACTTGAATTAATGTAAATCTCTGTTCAGAGACTGATATGAACAGAAAGGACAGATGCTGAATAACATCAAACAACCATACCTGTCCAAAGAACGGGAGGTGAGTTCATCTCCTGGGACACCTGGGGGGAGGTAGAGCTCCATAGAATCATCTACAGCAGTGCAGGGGGAGGAGGTGGGCAGGTAAACAGCTGTCCACAGCTGTAATGCCCGAGTGTGGCATACTGGCTGTAGCACCTGGCATAAAAACAAGTAAAGAGGACAATCTGAGAAGGTCAGCAGATCACATCTATTCTTTTCTTAGACAGCATGGAGCAGAAAGTGGGATAGATTTAATCTGATGTTTTAAATCTTTGCTCAGAAAAGCAGTGGGGAGATTAAAGTTAAAGACTGAGTCATACTATCCATTAATCATTCATCAAGCCAGTTCTGTTTCAGATCTAAAAAGAAAGACTATTGGTCCTAAAATATCACTATTTCCCTTCAACCTCAGCTGGAGACAACATTCAGCTGTTATTGTATGTAAATGTTAGCTCTACTTTAAAGGCATAAATAATATTACAAAACTGCTAGATACCAACCATATCATGACTGGGGATATAGAGGAAGTTCTGGAAGTTCTTGTTTCCTGTACGAAGCAGGGACCAGACAGAGCAGGTGCGTTTGTAGATGTTCCTCACCTCCCTCTCACGAGCATTGTTACACAGAAACGTGCCGTAAAGACATGAGTATGTGTGCTGCACCAGTTTGACCTAGATACGTAGGGAGAAGGAATAAAAATTATTCACCACTTAAAAGTGAGCTTTTTTACATATCCTCTGTCTTATGTCGTCTCGCACAATAGTCAGAAGACAGTATACTGTATAAAATCATTCTGAAAAAGACAGAGAGAAGCAAAGAGTGCTGGACGACGACCCACCAGGAAGGCCTCGTTGAACTCAAAGAGGCAGGGGAACTGTTTGAGCAGCTGGTGAATGCAGTCCAGCCACTGCAGGAAGACTGGACACTGCTCGCTCACGTCATCAGCATTCTCCTGGTGGCCACAGCGGTCCCCAAATTTATGACCATAGTCCAACCACTCGGTCTCTATAAGCACTTGAAAACCCTATGAACGACAAGGTAATCAGTAAGGTAATACATGATAGGTCAGCAAAAAAAACTATACTTAATACATTTGTAACAATGTGTCAATGCAGTCTAGACAAAACACATTGAAAACCCTGTCTGAAAAAGACAAGACTCTCACTTCTATTGTCCTGTAGTAGGGGTCCAGCAGAATCTTGGCAAGGGCTACAATCTGGGGTGTGCGATCCCACCCGTCTGAACAGTGCACCAGGACAGGACGGCCTTCCCTCTCCACCGCTGAACACACTAGAGCGGCTGCCTTCAACATGACAGACAGGTGCTGCAGCCAGCGGGTGCTTTCAAGGGCTGAAAGCCAGCTGGAAACACCAACAGACTTATTAGATACACACATCAGCTTAGGTTACTCAGGGTTAACTTAGACTGGGATATTAGGCTGAGAGGGTTAAGTGGAGGAAGCCCAAGACTTTATCTCTGGAGGCCTCCCTGCATCATCACACACCTCCATCAGAATAACAGATGTGAACAGACTAGCAAAACACACACAGCTGGCCCACTGAATATATAGATGTAAACACTGAAACTAATGGAAACACGTAGCCCATGCTGAGACTGGAGCACGGCAGCATTCTCATCTGTGTGGTGTGGCCTTACTGTTGGGTGACGCCATTAAAACAGGGAGAGGCACAAACAAGGACAGAGTGGCTTGGTTAGAAATGTCAAAGAGATCCACTTACTTTCCTGGATCCGGGATCTGACTGCAGACTGCCCTCAGAGCCTGGAAGCTGTTCCGGATAGCATGGATGTTGGCCATTCCCATGAACATCACCTCGCAGTTGGGGTAGTACTCTAAATACAAACAAAGATAATCTCTGATGACGGTCATTACACAAAGATACTGTAGCATCGTTTGTTCAGATAGTGGCGTCATCTCAGTCTGATGCATTTATCATTATCATTCACCATCATAATAATTATTTACATCTTCATATGTGTCCCTCAGCAGTCAGTGACTGTGTGTAGTCAGTGGTGCTGGTAATCCTTTCTCTGTTGTTTACTGAGTATCATATGTCAGACTGGACACCGCACTGTACAGAATGAGGCCACGTTTTATAAGCTTGGACAGAGCAGCACTTTCTAAAACAGGTACATGACCAAAAATGACACCCACTAACTTGATACTTTTTGCCTCCAACTTAATTTACATTGAACTTTGACCTAAACAAATTGACCTACATAAAACATGTTCCACTTTAATGTATGTTGGAGACCTACAGTCTAAGGAGCAAGCTAAAAACAATGTCTGACATACTTATCAGTGTATAAAATGGATATGGTAAACTACTTGGTAAACAGTTGCCTATTTATAAATCCAGAAAACGGGAGCAATTTTAAACATTTATTTGACGCTGTGTCTCTGGCCAGTCTAATATTCACTCTCCTTTAAGCTCTGTTTTCGATCTCTATCATTTCCTGAGAAAATTTGACTGTCTGCAATATGTTTAAAGAGAAGTATTGTATAGATGTATACTACAGTGAATCTGTTAGGGTGAGGATACACTCATATCATCTCATCTCATGAGCTATGATATCGGGTTCACAAGAATGAGACAATTTAACAAAATGCAAAATGTTTAAATAAATCTTGCTGAAACAAGTCTTATTCAATGGATAGTCATAAAATGCAAAACACTGCAGTTGCATTTTCAGATGTTTTCACTAATCATCTTGTAATGAATGTCACTTCAGTTCTACTATCTGAGGATGAATTATCATATGCAGCAAAAGACAATATGCAGCACTGTAAAAGGTTCTGCCACAAATCCTGTATGTCACATGTCTCTTCAGACCATAAGGTCTGTGCATGAGTTTGAGTTTCAAAGGTATAAAAAACAAAAACAAACAAAAAAAAAAAACCCAACAGAGTTCTCCCCATTCATTTTTATGGGTGATTGCATTCACCGCAGCCAACATCTGCACCACAGGGGGCTCCTGCAAAAGGACACAACCCTGTGTGGTGAAAAAGTTGGATCTGGTTCAACTTTCACCACACCAGATGGTGACATCATCCGGCAAACGCGCTGTGTTGACCAATCATGTACCAGGGACAACCGGGACATAGACACCCATGAGAAGAAGACTCTTTTGTTCACCTTGTTAGCATGGGCATTCACTGCTTTTCACTGTCAAATTTGGGCCACAATTAACACACCATAGCAACAAATGATGCATTTACATTAGTACTGGATGTAAAACAGTGTTTTTTTTTTTATTGATTAATGCCAACACACTGGTGGCAGAATTGGTGCAAAGGTAGAGTAGGCCACGTTAGCAGCATGGCTAACCAAAACACAATGGAAACTCCTGGGCTGGAAACGTGAAGGAAGTCCCTCACAATGACTTGTCACGTGTTCGTATCACACCTACAGCACTGCTCCTGCAACCCCACACCCTCTGACCAATGCAGCCCTGTACATTAAAACACAGCAGGGAGTTGTGTTTTTGCCCGACTAATGTGAACATATCATCACTCTGTCACACTGGCCTGGTTCTATTATGTACTGATACCATGAAACAGCCTTTGCCTTGTTGAGAGAAATATCAGCACATTTTAATATGAGAACTCGTGACACAAGATCTCATCAACCCAATTTCACATAAGTCACTAGAGTCATTAATATATTTTTTTTCTTTCCTGCTTCAATCATTGAACAGAATCACAAGTGATGGTGGTGATCACACTCCAGAAGGCAAGATTGTGTCAACATATGATAAAGCATTATTAATGCTAAGAAAAATGAAAATGTGATGAACAAATGTTGACTATCGCACTGTCAGTTGATTTGCCATCACATATGCTACTAAATGTAGATTTACTGAAGTATAGAAGACTTTTTAAATGTTTGACCACACTAACCTTCACATTCACAGCCTCCACCCTTGGCTCGGTTGGCCACGGCAGCGGTGTATGACCGAGCATCCAGAATCAGTAGCTTCTGTGGCACAGAGTTGTCATCGCAGCCTGTCAGAGTGGAGTCTGGAGGAGGAAGATATTTTTATGAGAGGACAATGTTATGCTAATCAAGGTGCTGCGAAAAGGTAGAGAAAGGAAGTATAAACAGAAAGGGGGATGGGGGACAGAAATAGAGTATTTGCAACCTAATAAAATCCATATCCTTCCTAATGACACAACCACAGTGTTGCTATTGGCAATGTGACCAGCTTTCAACAGCTGCCACAGAGAAAAAATTAAATGAACCACTGCTCTCTGCACTCAGTGTTGTGCTGCCACTGTTGTGCACCCAGTGTTATGGTGTTAAAGCTCCTCTCAGACATGCACTTCACTCTGTAAACACATTTTACAAGTGGACATACTGACACTATGTTTGAGAAAGAGAAACGAAATAGAAAAGAAGAAAAAATGAATGTATAGATGTAAAAACTGGTCTGACACTTGTCTATTAAAATTACTATACTCTGGAAGTCACACTAATGCTTACTGAATGCACTTCTTGTTAAACTGGAACATGTAAGCAATTCAGGAACTAGAGGCCTAACTATAATTATCTGCCAGTTAATCGTTAGTTAATCGTTGAACAAGTCCACTGTATGCAAACATAATTGAAGAGGGTGCATTGGTGGACATTAATTTTAGTATGTTGGGAGTCCACTCTGGAGCTCTAAAAAATTAGAGACATGTAAATAATGGAAAATGTCTTCCTTCTGAATCAAAAGGACATTTCCACAAATAAGTAGCATAGGTTTGAGTGCATTTTTTGAGAGCTACAATAGTCTAAAAGCACACACACAAGTCCACATATATAACTTAAAGAACAGCTTTACCAAAATCACTATCTGAAGAGTCAGGAGCTTCCCCACGTTGTAGGCAGGCCAATTGTCCACAGGTACCCTTGGCTCCAACATCCATTTGGCAGGCCTTGGCAATTGACTTCACCAGATACTCATCATCTGTGTTCCTCCAGCCCCACCAGCTGATCTCAGGCTGGCTACAGCGGGCGATCACTGCCCCGTTCCTCTGGTGCCTGGATTTAAAGGTTATAGAGTTATTAGGTTATAAAGGAAAATGCTTGAGGAGAAAAAATATGGAAATAAACGTGTGTCAGGAAACCTACCTGTAGACCACCACAGGGATCCTCTTCCAGGATCTGAAGGAAGCCACACTCTCCAGCTCCTTGTCAGTGATCCATATTGGAACCAGAAGCTTCTGCGGGTAGCTGGAGCACAGCCTGTGGAACAGGAAGGCCAGGAGACATGAAGTTGCTGGAGGAAGACCAAATGCTGTTTATAATGCTGCATCATAACCAGTATATTGGGGCTGAACTTCAGATAGCCATGTAAGCAACAAGAGTCTTTCAGTGAGAAAAAGAAGTTTGAATTGTGCTTTGAGATGCTGCAAACACACATTCTCCTGTCTGTGAAACAGTTTGTTTTTCACGGTCACTCCTGCATCCATAGCTGGGAGAGAATAAAAAAAACAGTGTGCTACTGCCCAACTCCATCTGTCTCTGGTCTCCTGCTCCTCTCCTACAATACTTTGTTCAATTTCTATTCACCTGCAGACTGTCTGAGGGGGGAGAACAGTGTGTGTTTGTGTGAGTGAGAGGGAAAGTAAAATACTGTGCTGAGTCAAGGGCCTCAACGGCTGTGGCCTGTTTAATTAGGCAGTTGTCCAGCTGTCTCCCTCAGGAGGATGTGCTCTCTTGGGCCTTCAGCAGACTGACCTTGTTTTGGTAGCATTTATTTGACCAGTCAGCAAAAAGAGACAAGAATCTGCTATCAAGGTACACACACAGTACACTGCAATGTGTCTGCTTGAGTGAGTGCTACAGTGTTTATTTCTCTGTGTGTGTTAGTGTGGACTTGGTCAGAGTGTTGCTGGCCTACAGTTATAAGAGGTAAAGCCAAGTAACAACTAGTGTTGTTGAGAGCATTTAAAGGGACAGTCCACTGCAAACATGCCTTTGTCCATTAAATATTCATCACCCAAAGGCCTGAAAGACAACTCAGAGAAATTAGCAACCCAGACTCAAGGGGTAAATATTTCATAATGTATAAAAATGCCTTGTCAAACCACTTCAGCAGTGTAATTCTGCTTCTCCATTACTGATCTGTTTTGTCCACCCAATATCTGCTTCACCAATGATTTGATAAGTAAGCCACTTCCACTGGAGATTCAGAGATATGAAGAAGCAACTGTGAGAGTTGGGGGAAGTGTTTTTAGCAATTTGTTGGTAGACAGGGATGTAACGATACACAATATTGGGTTCACAAGAATGAGACAATATTTTGACAAAATATATGACTGGAAAGAGTACTTTATTCAACTGAAAGTCACAAAATGCAAAACAGTGCAGGTACATTTTGAAATGTTTTAACTAATCATCTTGTAATGAATGTCACTTCACTTCTGTATATGCAGTAAAAGACAACAATATGCAGGCGCCGTAAAAGCTTTTGCCACAAACTCAACTGACTGGCTTCTCTCCTGTATGATTTCACATGTCTCTTCAGACCTTATAAGTGTGCATGAACTATGCATGAGCTTCTGACTTCTAACTGAAGATGTGTGTGACCTTCTATGCCATTTTCACCCTCACCACACCAGACGGTCACATTATCCGGCAAAGGCACTGTGTTGACCAATCATGTAAGGGAAGGCAAGAAGACAGTCAAATCTGAGCCCCAATTGACGCACCATAATGACACACCATGCATTTTCATTAGTGCTGGATGTTAAACTGTGTTTTTATCAATGCCGACAAACTGGTGGTAGGATTGGTGCCAAGCTAGAGTAAGATACATTAGCAGCATGGCTAGCCAAAACACAATGAAAACTCACAAGCTGGAAAAGTGAACGAAGCCACTTGCGTTGACTTGTCACAGCATGGCCGTAATCACATCTACAACACTCCTCCTGTAACCCCTCACTCCCTGACCAACACAGCCCTGTGTGTTAAAACATAGCATGGATTTGCATTTTTGTAGGACTAATGTGAACGTAACCATCACACTCCCTTATGCTGGTTGCTGCTTCTGTTAAATGCTGGTATTGCAAGACAGCTTTCCACCTCAACGAGAAATATTGTTACATTTTAATATCGTGAGACACCCCTATTGGTAGAGTGAGGATTGTTTAGAACATACTCAACATACTGTATGAATTATGGGTAGGGAAGTGGATTATGCTGCAGAAGTGATTTAGAATTCTGATTTTTTTTGCTGGGATTCTGGGTAACCACGAGAACCTAATTTCACTGCTGGGAATCTAAACCAGAAAGGCTGACTCTGTGGGCTCCCACTCAGACAAATGTCTCTAGTTATTAGCAGTTCCTATTTGTAGTGTATCATGGGTGTACAGACAAGTATCACTGGGTGACTTTGATTCTGATGAAAACATACTTACACTAGGCACCTTGTACCGTGCCCGTACACAACTGTCCCCCCTCCCCAGTCCCTTGCTGGCAAGCACTCACATAGGGCCCACCTCTTCAAACAGGCCCAGGCACAGCATGGGGCAATCACACTAGTCAAACAAATTGGACTGTGGGGGTCAAACAGTCACGATACAGAGTGCCTAGTATGAGTATACTACTATTCTCAGGTAGGTTCTGGAGTTAGAGTTTTTCTCTACGATTTATAAGTGGGCTTACAGACTTTTGTTTGCAATGGACATCTGAAATATTGATATCCACAGAAAGTACTGAATTGCAAAGTATGTATATCATGTCTGTGTGTTCTGTTTTGACTGAGTTATGTTTCTTAGAAAAAGTACAATATTGCCGCAAATTGCAGCAACTGGGTGATAAGGGTTTTAAATACAATGAAGTATCTGTGACATACTTGTAGTTGCAGTTTAAGTCTGACACTCTCCAGATGTTCTGCATGTCAAAGCCCATCCTCTTGACCTCCATTTCTGTTCTATGACGCACGTGATCACCTGTACACACAGAGCATAAAGAGAAGAAAACATTTTAGCAATACCAATGCTTAAAGAAAACAAAATACACAATGCCAGAGGCATAACTGTTCTCAAATCTTTATGCTCAGTCTTGTGCGTGGACCTGGGCGACAGAGATGAACGTGCTGGTCCTCATCGTCAGTGCTACCTCCTAGACACCACGCATGATAGGCCAGGGCAAATAGGTCCTCCAGCCGCGACGGGTGAGCTATGACCTGGTTCAGACGCTTGACCCACTCCTGGCACTGCTTGAATGTTGCAAAGTGGCATCTGTAGACATTAGTGAGATCCAACAACAAAATATCTCTATAACTTCATGCACTGATATTTGGGGGTGTTGCATTTCTTCGGATTTTCAGAGACTTTCCAGGCTTTAAAACAGTGGTAATAATGCTGTTGTGTAATGATGAGGAACCAAGACATTGCTGACACGTGCTGCTGAACTTTATAGACATCAGCCAACAGATGAGAATTTAGTCTGCTGTAAAACCAAAGCAGGCCTTGGCCTTTGCTTTCTTGTGCATCTCTTTGTAACACCACTGAATAATTAGAATGAACTGATTATTATCACAGAATATCTGGAGCCCAAAAATTGATGCTGGAGACAGCCCTAGAATTAGCAAAGTTCTAATCAGCATTATTAGTTTATCTATAAGATGTTAGAAGATAGAGGGAAAATAAAAAGTTCCTAGAGGACAAGATGACTGTTTCACATTGCTTGTTTCATTCAACCAACAGCTCAAATCTTCAATTTACAATTATACAGAAGCCTCACATTTTAGGAGCTGTACCCATTAACTGGTTGTTGTTGATTACATTTCTATTAATCAAGTAATCCTCTCAGCATTAAAACATGTACAAAATACTAGTTCTTGAGTTCTAATTAGTTGGGAAAGTCTGATGACACAAATTCTATTCATGATTTATTTTGTATAAACCACAAACATGTCTTTCAAAAACATACATCGCTTTCAAACTTTAAATCATGAATTTCAGTATACACAATCCCAGAGGTTTGGTATACCTGAACATCAGAATACACCCTATAAATTATATTATCAGCAGAAATAGCCCAAGTAAACTGGGGTTACACATCATTACATTCATTATGTAATTGCAGAAAAACAGAAAATCTGAACACCACTGGAAGTATGTTCATGTTTAATGACAATTTTTGCACTTTGAAATGCTGACTAGTGGTTAAGTGTGGTAATGTGACATAAATTGCCTCCTTATTGCCAGATAGAATTGAACTACTACATTATTAATTCACATGAGAAGTGGAGCGCTGTACTGTATTTAACAACAGCATCAATCTGTCTTCAGGATTAATACAATATGTGAGAATGAGATGCCCTCCTTACCTAACAACTTTGGAGTCTTTGCAGATGATGTGCAGCTGAAACATGTCTCTGCTCTCCACACTCTCTATCAACCGGAGAGGCACCTATAGGGGGAGACAGAGGGCATGTGCAATTATCCCAGTGGCCCTCTGACACAGGAGACTGCACACATGTACTGTACCCTGCACAAATATCCACACTCTAGTCTAGTACACAGAGACAAGACACAAGTAGTAAAGCTTTAATCTCACTGTGGAAAAGAAGGCCTCTGTAGCAATTTTAACTGAAGTCACTACACCTGTGTTATGATTCCAAACAACTATTCTGCTTCTAAGCTTTTAAGAAATACGGTGAACTGAGGTGTTCATGAAGGTGCTACCAAGACTTAGAAAACCCACAGACAACTTCAATTTAGGACAAACCTTTCAGCAACAAGGTGCTAATGTGCACCTTGAAATGATTATTTTCTCATTCTTACAAGTTTTAAGGGCAGAAAATATTTTATAATTGAGTTAAGGTCTGCCAATACACTGCACCACAATCCATTTAACAAGATGCCTTCTGAAGCTTATAATAAACCCAGGGTTACAACTCAGTAGAATGTAGATTACAATCTGTCCTCAGTGCAATATAATCGTGTAAAGTGAAGAAGAACTAAATGACTAAACTGTCTAGACTGTGGTGGGGGTGGGGTTATCATACGGTACTCACAGATATCTCATTGTCCACACCTGGGTAGGTCTAAAACACAGTGACACCATGAAGCACACACAGAGAGAGATAAAGGAGGAGGGAGGGAAGACAAGACAGGAGGAAATGGAGAAGACTATTAACCAAAAAAAAAGAAAAAAATGCAGGAGACAAAGTGAAATGAAGAGTTAAAAGCAAACCTGAGAGGCTGAAAGATGAAAGATAACCGAGTGATCACACAATGCGCTACTTGCAGCTCATGACCAAGCCAAATGAAAATCATGGAGAGAAAGACAAACATGGATGGGAGCAAAGGGCAAGAAAACAGCTAAGAGGTAGGTGGGTGAGTTGTGAGGGGTGGGGGCAGGGCTGTTCATATTCATACAAAGTTCATTCTATACTGCTAGGGTCACAGCAGGACTCTGACCTAGAGCTGTCGCTTTTTTTCCGAATTTCGATCATTCGGTCGAACATGGCAAAAAGAAAAATAATAATTCAAACTGCAATGAGGTGTACAAATCCAAAAATGTACACTATGTCAATAAGTGCAACAGGCCGTTTGTAATTTGCCTTGTGGTCTAACTGAGGACGTTCTTAAAATTCACCATCAGCTTGACCAGTTACATGTCCTGTTGACCTCTCAGTAAAGTAAGCTACTAACATTATGTTTGCAAGGACAAAACGTGGGATAATAGCAGGCAAAGTTGTGCTGATCGGACAATAATGACACCAGAGCGGTGACAAGGTAAATGGTTTGCTTACTCTGCAATAATGCAGACGCCTTCTCAAGTACAGTCTCAAGTAAGTTCTCAAGAGTGCTACGCCTTAACCACTAGCCTACCAGGGACAGCTGGACGAACACTGACTACACACATTGTAAATACATCATATAAGCTTTCGGTGCGTGGTCATTTTTTCCATCCTTCTACCCCTGTAGCATGTCATGATCATGTAGCTAAGCTCTCCTGACACAGCACATAAATCAGCCAAAGCAGTAAGGCGTAGTGACAATTTTTACTTTTTATTAAAAATTAAGCACCAACTCTATACTTTTTATTTTTTGGCCGGGGTGGCAGGTTCCATTCGAATTAATTCGAACAAATTTCATGTCAGTTCGAACATCGAATGTGATTTTCGGAAAAAGTGAGTCCTACTCTGACCAGTAGGAACCCGGCTTGATAGGGGCTGTTAGGTGGTGCTCTTCCCTCATTTCCTCCTTTCCAAATCTCTTTGAGAAGGAGGAGGAATTTCAGTTCCAGTGAAAGCAAACAATTGACCTGTTTTTGTGTCTGAGCAAGGCCTGACGTCAGGAAAAGCGAGCTGGTAGACATCAGCTTGCCAGTCGTGGCAGGGGCTTTGGAACTTTGATGCCTCATTAAACCTCTCCTGCATGAAGATCAAAGGGCCTACCACTTCTCTCTGGTACAAACAACTTCACTGTAAGTATTCTGGGATATGGCATACCACTTTACAGGTACCTTGTGTAATATACTTGGTTTATTTACCTTTTAAGAACAATCATGAATGTATAAAATGTACACATGAAAATGGAAAATGCCAATGTCCAAAATACACATTATACATCTCCTACTGTTGGCTTCTGTAATGGTGTGTCATGGCAGCAGTGCCATCTGGACCAAAATGAAGCTTCAGTGATTCTTTGCTGTTCTTTGTCTGTGATGTGCACTCACATTGATGACGGAGTCCTTAAACTTGATGTGGAGCCTGTAGTTAGAAATGGCAATGATGGATTCATCAGCACGGCCAAGATATTCCACACCTTCCCCCTGAAGAACTGGGAATGGCACCTATAGAGAAATGAAATAAGATGGTTTGACATGTTGATGTTTACCATGTTCAAAATCTTAGTTTAATGTGTTAGCACTAAACTAATTAATTTGCTAATTAACACAAAATACACAGCTGAGGCTGATGGGAATGCCATTAGTTTGGCAGGCACTCCATCCAAAGTGCAGCATCCAAAGTACTGGACAAACTAAAAATGATCAGTTTTCTTGATGATGGTGCTAGATGATGGTGGCACAAGTTCCAGGTTTGAACCTGGTAGCTGACCTAAGCCTGTCTGTTGTGTGAAGTTTGCATGTTCTCCTTGCGCTGCGTCGGACCCAGCCCACACCTCGGATTAGGAATGCAATAATACAATGTAATGTAATGCAATAAAGGGTATGTTTCCTATTCTGAAAAAAAGATTAAGGCTAAATGTAATTGTTTCCCTGTTTGACATCACTGTCATGGCAACATTGACAGCTGGTGAGCGTATGATGTTTAACAAGTGACAGAAGTCAACGGTCAGCTAAAAGGCTCCTGTTCAAAATTAGCAAGTAGGCTAACGGCTAACTCGGTCACATTCTGTCCTGTGGGTATGATTAAGCAAGACTTCGGTGTCTTCTGTCAGTGTACATTACATCACCAATGCAGTGAGGATGTCACTATCCAAATGTGCAAAGAAAGAAAAAGTTGACCAAAAAAAAAGTTTTCAAAGATGAAATATGTGTTCATTTTGCTCCATCCTGCAACCCTTGTGTTAGATCATTTTCAGTCTGTTCAAATCATTCATGTCTTTATTGAACACACCCATTAAACAAAATCATGGTGGAAAAAGTAATGGCAACTCCAGGCTTCCGATGTTACTAAAAGTCAACTTGAGACAGGTGTTAGCAAACCTGGAGTCCAATCAATGAAACAAGAATGGAGGTGTGGTTTAGAACCACTTTGACTTGTAAAAATACCCAAACAGTGTCGGTGTGCTATTCACAAGCAGCATCGGCTGATGTGAGCAAAGCCTCACAAAAAAACAGATCTCAAAAGGCATACAACAAGGGGTTGGTGATTTGCATGTAGCTGGAAAGCGTTACAGAGTCATCTCAGACTTTAGATATTCATTAGTCCACAGTTAGACATACTATATAATGGAGATGACTTGGTACTGTGGCTATGCTCCATAGAAGTGGGCGCCCAGTCAAGATCACTCCAAAGGTACAACACAGAACGCTCAATGAGGTAAAACAGCACCCTAGACTAACAGCTAAAGACTTGAAGGATTCATTGGAGTTGGTTAACATCTCTGTTCATGAGTCAACTATATTGCAAAATACTGAACAGGCATGGTATCCATGGCAGGACACCCCAGAGGAAGCCACTGCTCTCCAAAAAACATTGTAGCACACCTGAAGTTTGCCAAAGACCACCTTGAAACTCCACAACACTACTGTTGCCATTACTTTTTCTTGCAACTGTATAATGTAGTCCAGTACAACACCATCTTTGACCTCAATAAACATGTAATTGAATTAATACATTTATAACTGTTTCACTAAAAACTGAAATATTTTCAGCTTCACAAATACAGATGGTAAAGCAGAAGTGTTGAATACAATTGTACAGGTGTACCTAATAAAGTGGTCGGTGATTTAAAAGTGGTACGTTGTTTGCAAGCTACCAGCAATTGTAGTAAAAGCATTTTATTAAATCACCAATCGATGCAGACCTTTGACTTTGAATAGAAATCAGATTCTGACCTTTGAATATTAAGTTTGAGAACTCCTGCTCTACGGGTTAAGTGGTATAGATAATGGATAGATGGATGGTGCTAAATGAGAAGCTAGGGGATCACCAATGTTATTACAATTCATACCCAGTGGAACATAAATAACTGCACCAAATTTCATGACAATCCATCCACAAATGTTTGAGGCATTTCACTCAAATCCCAAATACCAACATCACTGTGGCACTTAGTCTAAACATTGAAAAATCTTCAAGTGCATGTTGTTTGTATCTATTTCAATAGATACAAAAAAAACTTTGACCTGCCGGTCAGAGTGCTTGTTGGAGATCACAAAAGTACAAATAAAATATCAAACTCTTGTTGAGATACTCTACTAAACAACCGCCTGACATCTGTTTAGCCATCTGTTCTGCCTAGCAGAGCTAAAACAACATTTTAACTTGTCAACAGTTCAGATTGTTAGGTTTATTTACTTTGATTTTCTGATTTTAAAAGGTTCATTCATTCATTTTCTACGATTCTTCTAAGATGAGATTAAACAGATTAAAAATGAGGTATGTTTTCTAACAATACCCAGATTTACAAGTAACTAACAGGCAAAGTTCATAATGACTAAACTTACAGAGTGACAACTTTGCACTGAGCGCTCTGGTAAAAGTGATCTGTGTACCATTTACTGTTGCTGCTTTTCCAAGCGATTTGAAATGATGAATTCAGTGAAACAATACTTTACGCATGCCACTGATCGATTCCAAGATTAAATAATTTTCAATCACCTTGCAATGAAACCTGGCTTATGTAAAACAGTAAAGTCTGTTGGGAGATACCTTGTTGTTTGGACATCGTTCTCCCTCACCTAACAACTTGAGTTGGGAGATACCTTGTTGTTTGGACATCATTCTCCCTCACCTAACAACTTGATTGTGTCACGCCCAGTCATTCCCTGCATACGTGGCCTCAACACACTTCAGTTTCTCTTAGTCATCCTTTCTGTGCAGCTGCATGCAGCTGGTGAAACATAATCATGACGACTGGGGACCACAAATTATGACTCAACGTTCATTGTTTCATTGCTGGTAGTGAGGTCTGTTGCTTAGAAACAACATTACCTCAACCTGCATTAACATGCACTGCTGAGTCATGCAAAGCAGAGCCCACTGGTGCATGTTAAAAGAGGACATACAGCAGGCCAGATGGGGACTATGCTGAGATGTCAGAAAATCAGGAAATCTTGAAGCAACCTCAGCCAATGCTGTTAAAAGTACAGCCTTAGCGTTAGAGCACAGAGCAGAAGGAAATCACTGACAGACCTGTAAACACAAGTCAGAATGTATTCAGTCAACTTACTTTTTAACACAACAAAAACAAAATGCACCTTATAAATCTAAAATAAAACTATTCTTATAATTTCTTAAAAGGAATATTCCTGACTGACATAAGGTCAAACGCTATCAGTGTACCAGATAGTTAATGGCTGTTGGTGCAAAGCGCTTATGTTAACAACAACAACAACAACAAAAAAAAGGACAGAGAGAGAGAGAACTCCCTGACATTTATCAAAGCACCTGCTGCTGTTGCTCATCTCTAA